GTGGATGTTGCTTTACGCAGTTAGCTATGCGCTACGGTTCTGCATGTTAACAACACAATTAAGAACGCGTCGACTTGGTCTCGGCGAGCGGTTAGATATCCAAACACTGTGTGCGTTCGAGTGCACTTCGATTCCGCGCGGCGGAATTAAACGCTCGCGTTGGACGTTAAGCGCGTAATACGTATCGCGACAATTAGGTTACGGTGCTGCAAATTACAATTAAGCCATGACACTTTACACGCAACATTTATTTTACTTACGAGGGGACTCACTCCCGCCACAGATATCGTTGACGCTCACGAGGTGATTCCAAACGTTCGACGATGATCTGTAGAATATTTCGTCCCGATTCACCTTTATTTTTATAAATAATCCAGATATGGGGCGAGACTTTGCGTTCGAAAGATTCACAAGAAAATGTGTTTTAGTTTTTAGTCACGAATAGTACGAAACTTGGTATAAAAATTCTTTATTTGGTTGGTGAGCAAAATTGACGACTAGTGGATTTTGTTAATTGCGAACAGAATTAATCGTTGATGTTTAAAGACTTTGCAAATTCTTCAATTGTAACTTAATTTAAAATTTCAATCATTTAATAACTCTATACTACCTGTACGATAACGCAGGATAAATATGTTTTGTTTGCATTTCTGTTGGTAGATGTTCATACAACTGGAGTGACACTTGACAGTAGTTTAGATAAGAGTTCAGTAGAAGTTTAGTAATATTGCAGAAAAATTAGAAGACATTTATTAAACAAGGAAAGTGATATATTTAAAACGGTATAAGAATCGCTAAATCCCGAAGATAAATATATCAATACGGGAAAATATGTTTATGGATCGCATCCCCTAATTCGGAAATCACAGGTTTAAACGGTTACAGGTTGTAAATTAAAGCATTGTTGAGAAATTGGCAGAGAGCCGTTTCAATCAGTTACAGTGCACGTAAAACTGCATCTGCTCGTGTTTTACATCTGTTGCTTTCATTTGCTCGGGGAATTTAATTATCTTGCTCGCTTCTTTCATCTGCCACGATTTAATAATTGCTTCCCAAGGGGAAATAAGTCACGGTTTCTGTTCATTGATCGAGCGATTATAGCGGTTCTCACGAACGCCAGTCACACATGCTATCGCGGTTAACAAGCCCCGGCCATTCAGCTTAATTTAATTGATTTAATTAGAATTCGTTTGCGTGCACGTTACGCTGTCAGCGGCTACCCATGCGGACAACAAGCAACTAAAAACAAATCTTTATGGAGTGTTAAGTGATAAGTAGTAAAATCGGATATTTGGGTGATACATTCGATGAAAGATCTATTTGTATACCTTGTCTGTGGTATTAGTCAGGGTATCGTGATCCATATATTACGCCCCGTAATTGTTTTCATCCTTATCACGTGTCATTGCACCGAGAACTATTAGGTTGTGTAGTAAGTCATGTAGAATATTTAATTATAAATTTTTACTGCATAACCAGACGATTTATAGCGAAAGATACTGTCTCATATTTAGAGAACGAGTCGTTTTTCATCGCGATAAAAATTATTGCAATTTCATTCGGCTATTCTTCTCCAATCATTATATTCATCTGATTTACTTGCTTCGTCTATTGAAATATTTCAACAATGGAAAATCGATAAAAACACCGAGGAAATAAATATTATATGGCGACGAAAGTAAGAATACGTAGAGCATATATAATAACATGTTTCCATATAAGAGTTTCCATTTTCTCACCATTAAGTGGCCAGCGAGCCTATGCATAGTAGGGGAAGTTCTTCTGCGCTTTCGCGGTAGAGAAAAGGAGGGAAAAGAGCCATAAACTTTCAGACCGTCAGTTCGTCACCCCTGGTGTCTACAATGTTACACTACGTGAGTAATGAAAACGTTTTCGTTTGGACTGTTTAAACGTACAGTGCAGCACTCTATAATTTGTGCATCATATTTTACGTGAATATATTCTACTCTGTATATCAAGATTGTAGCTAGACAGCCGGTATCATTATTTGCAATTACGATCAAGTAGCAATTTCAATAATGTATCGCGTTGCATAAGCTGTAAATATGTATTATCTCAAAGGCCCCGATTGCTGTTAAATTAACTATTGTTTTCGTTTTATTCGAACGCAATGATTTTAATTTACATGCTTTATGAACACCGATTATATCGAACTCAACCGAAAGAAGCGCGCTCTTTTCTTTCTGAACTTTCTAAATTGCAATCGAAAAAAATTTTTATTTCAAGCACGCGTTAAAACCAGTTAATATTTTTTAGGAAAATCGATTCGCGGATAATCATGGTTATCGCTTGTAAATTTTTTGGTTTTTCTTGTGTAAGGGTGGTTCTAGAATCTAGGACTAAGTGTGGTTGTAAACGAAATTGCAAGTGTCGAGTATTACGACGCGTTCCTTTGTTAATTTCTTCGCGCGAATCGTTCTCGAATTTATTCACTTATTTTTAAATTAGACGGAATTAATGAGAAACATTTGAAGGGAGCCGACGATAAAACGAGCGGAACTCGACGTTTCGGTAAATTTAATTGGTTCGATTAGAATTCGTTTGTGTGCGCAAAGTTCAAGGTGCATTTATTTTCGTTCGGTCGTTTTAAGGGTCGGCCTTTAATTTGCCGCCAATGATACTAAACTCGAAAGGAATTCCCCGGTCCTACTTTACCCTGAACGACACGATGCATCCTTCTTACGTCGAGGTTGTTCGACTTGTCAGCAGTAATGTAATTATAATGGTTCGCATTACACGAAGTCGCCGTTTTCGTAGATCAAAATTAAATTGCTCTATTTTCGTAGAATCAAACGTAATTCGATCAAACATCCACTGATATTAATATTTCGCGTTAAACGGAATATTAAACTATATAATTTGGCAATTTCAGTTTTATTTAAATTAAATACTAAAATGTTGTACGGAGACAACGTTATTACTATTATATTATTTTTCACAAATAATTTTTAAATTTTTAAAGATAACAATTTGTGAAACTATTGGAACGGAGATCGATGATGAATTGAAACGATGTGAACATAGATGAGTCACAAGTAACATAGTGTTTGATATTCTGAGACTCCGTTCGGGATTCAGAAAACGTTGCTTTCTCGCGAGACGCAAATAATAAATAAGTGGAATGCGAGTATCGTTCGATTGGAAGTTCCGAGAACGTAACGCGACGCGAACAAGATGATTTTTATTAATTATTCATGATGCTACGTGTTCGTATTGAAATTATAATCGGTTATTCATGCGTCAGTCGACCAAATCGGTCAGTGGATTCTCTAAAACGCGCGTGTAATTTGTGAACGGAAGCACCATTTGTGACTTCGAGACGCCGGAAACGCGCACGACGGAAGCATGATGTCCTTCTGCATTCAAAATTCTGTCTTCTTCGGACACAGGTATGCGTGCATTCAAAACCACACACCCATCAATGTTTCTCATTTCTAATCAATTTTTAAATTGTAAACTGGTATAGTCGCAACTTCCATTTTATTTTTCATATATCTATGAATCGTCGATGTCGATATGTTTGCAATTTCGAATATTTTTCTCCTACTATGGTACGAATTTTCTCTCCGTTGACCTCAGTAGAATGCATTTTGTGTATAAGTAAAAATTTCAAGTTAGGTCAGTTCCTTTCGATGGAATCGTTTTCAAAATATGTAGGTGACCTCCATTTTATCAAATGAGACTATATGCTTTTTGTCATCTGGGTTAAAAGCCTTTGTACAAACGAATCCAACGCCTGTAACATAAGGGTTGTTTCGGATTTTGAAGATTAGACTCTGAAAATGTAGAACATCTTTGAACGCTTTGCAACATCGTGTACACGTATTATATTAAGTTACATAATTTTTTTATGTATAATAGTTTCAAAGACATAGACTATATCTGAATGATGAGTGATGAACTATATATTAATTTATGTAACACTTATTCCTAGACGTTCTACACATGAGTGATTGGTAATTGCACTATAATTGACGATTAAGAAAGTATAATTATCATGGGAAGAAAACTTATTCCTAAATTAATCTTACTACGTTATTCGAGAAAATATTCGCAAACCTGTAATTCAAAGATTACAAAACGTTGCAGTATTGTATAATATTATATAAGAATGCACCTCGAGTTTATAAATTAAAAATAATTTTAGCGTAATTGTAGGGAGTATGTAGTTTCTATAGCTCGCCACTATTTGTACGTAGTTGTCGTTGATGAAACGTCAGAGGATTTTCGTAGAAACATGTCCATTATACCGTGTTCAGCGGTACGTGCACCCTTCGCGGAACACAATGGGGTTAAAGAACCTCTGATACGGCGTCAATTGATTAGCAATGGAGAACTACGCGGTAGCGTGGGACGGCGGGTTCTCGTTTTTGAATTTGCAATCCTACGATCGTCTGCGTATGGACATGTCCGCTTGTCTGCCGCGTCCAGACTGCGCGAATAAGTGATAGGAAAGTCTTGCCTGTCATCTGCACGGTACCACGGTGCACCGACGATCACGGATCAAATTTATTGCTTTTCGAACGATTAACCTAATGGTTTGTGAAACCACAGATAAAATACGCTCCTACGCGAAATAAGCGAAAAGAGGGTCCCCGAGCGTCCAAAAAGAAATTCGAGTACACAGCTGTTTCATTCGTATAATTTATACACGTTTCTGTAACTTCGACAATTGAGGAATTGAACCATCGATATTATTGATAACAAACATTCGTCAATATTAATAACATCGTTTATTACTAATCTAGTCCGCACCAGCAAAGACCATAAACATGACGATAACAATTATAATATTTTTCGAATACAATTCATATTCCTTGAAATCGCTAGAGCAAGATCCTCCACGGTAATATCGATATTTTTAACGAAATGTGATAGTAGTCGTTATCAGAGACAAGCCTTCGTGAATATTAATAACATTACCAAAGTTGTCCGTAACCGAGTAAAGTCCATAAATTGTTTCACAAGTGTCGCGCGTGCATAAAATGTTCGGGTATATTTTTGGATTATATTCCATAAAACGTTCGCGGTCTCGTTCAATTTCTCCAAGCCGTTAGAGGCTCTTATAATATTTCCACCGATCGGAACGTCCCATTTTCGATGTCAGTCGCATTGGAACAACAACGCTCGCGTCCCGAGAGTCGTGGCGTGTAAAACGCCACGTACGAACGTGCAATAAGGTGGCTGCGAAGAGACGCAGGTGATTACTTTCCAATCGTGACGGCCACGATCCGCTTTACGAGGTGGTATAAAAGTGGAGCTCCGGCCATTAACATAAACTGGAGGGCGTCTCGCGACTGGCAGCTTGGAAGCTCGGGTTGTCTATGAACTATCGCGAATCATGTCACACCTATCCACTTATACGTTCCTGTATTTTTACCTTCCCGATGTCGACACACATCGGCAATCCCGTTTCAAAACCGTCGATTTTCATCGTTTTTCTCTCTTTTCCTCGCCTCGCGTATTCCTCGAACCGACTGAAACGTTTTCTTCCCCGCCGACGAACTGGAATAAGCGAACTGTAATGAACAGTTTATTTTTGATCGTTACTCCTTGGGCTACCAGCTCCTAACATTATTTTGTTTTGTTCAAACTACTATATACAGAAATATTTATTACTTCGAAGTTTAGTTTATGGACGCACGTTACGATAGGTTTTCCTTATCATTCGAAGGTTCTTTTACTTTAATCGATATCCGATTCATCGAATTGTTCCTCCTTTCTTAAAACAAATAGAATTTTGTTTGTCGCGTAGGTTATTTTTTATTCTATTCCGGTTATGGTGATTATGTTAGTGGCGTTGTACGTTAGGTCCCTTTACCATATGGGGATTGCGCGTGTGTATTGAAACAGTATGCACCGTATCTGGAAATATTAAATGTTATTAGAATCGTTATTAGAATTTTATTAAAATATGATTATACGAAACGTTTGATTTACGTGTTCTTTGGCGTAGAATCACCAAAGTAAACTTTCGGCTCGTCCTTCCTGGCTTCTATTATTTTATCAAAGCACTTGTGCGCCGGAAATGATTTAGGATTTTTTAATGACTCCGCATATATTTTGGTGGATCTTTGATGACTGCACAATTCTTCCAATAAAAACATTTAATCCACCAACGAGGCGTAAACGTTGACGGTTATGTTGCATTTACAGAAATTAGTATTAGAAATTGAAGTGTCTATTATATTTCCAGACACGTAATTAAAATAAGCACTTTACGATGTACAAAAGTAAAATCGTATTCTATGATTCCTACCAAATGTTTTCTTAAATTTAGTAAATTTATCAAAGTATGCTCACGAACCCGGAAATTAACAAAATTTTTAAATGTGTGTAATTCGAGTAGTCAATAATCTAAAGTAGTCTAAAAAATAGGTTTCAGTTATGGTTGAACTATTCTACTTGCATGCAATATTTCAAAATTTTCGTATTCGTGTAAGTCCCTTGTTAGTCGAGCAAGCGAAAAATTAACAATTTATTTAAATCTAATTTTGTTTGAGAAGTCTATTAGAGAATTGTTTAAATCAGGAGTACTAGAATTGAAAAATATTACGATTACCGAGGGAAACGTCTACGATGCTCATAAACGTTCTAACAGTGCAGCCGTATTATTTAAAATTTCCTCAGGCTGCTGTCAGTTTACAACCAGTGATAATCTTTAGAGGTGTTAAGACACTTTAAGTGAAAACTTTATGAATTACAAAAATGACTGGTTGTCAGGTTGTAAGTGGCGCGTTCGTAGCCCATTGAAATTCTTTACATTCTATCGTCACGAGGAACTCGAATGTGTTAACGATGCGCATTATGATTTACCTCCTCCAATGATTATAGGGCAACCTGGCTGAGGACTGATTCCCTTGTTCGCGTAGAAATCAATAGTCCCCGTGTCGATAGGTGTTCCATAAAAGCCACCGTCGGTGTGAAGGATTACGACAGCTTCTGCGTCGCTTGATCTAATGTGACACGTGGAGGGATAAAATAGGGGAAGCGCTGGATCTAATCCTGCAGTGAACGATCACTATTTTTAGGATACTAGTTTTCTGTGCACTCCTCGTGGACAAATTCGCGAACAAAAGTGTACTTTATTGCATAACGTCGATTCTTATTCTGGTCAATTTTAAGAACTTACCCGTTATCCGATTCAGAGTGATATTCACGAATCTTCCGATGTGGCCAGCAATGTGAGCGCCCAAAGAATGCCCGATCACGTGCAATGTGTTCAAATCGATCAATTTAGCGAGTTTTTCCAAAGATTCTGCAACTGCCTTTCCTATCACAGAGACTTGACTGGCGACGTATACGTAATTAAGATCGATCGCTATTTCACCCCAATCGACCAGGATAACGTTCACGTCTCCTTTTTCCAGATATGCTGCAAACGCAAAAGCAGGCATAATTGTGTTTCAATTTCTTCTAAATGCCTTGAATTTTCACGACAAAAAATTAGTATCCTACTAGATAGTTTTGGCAATCTTTACGTTGATCGGTCTTGAATTAAGGTTATGAAAAATTCTGGTGATTTTAATTTAATACACGGTGTCTTACTCGAAACAAACACTCTCAATATCTTATTGTTTACAAAAATATTTTTATTCATAAAATTAATTACTTTTAAATTCTACAATTATGTAGTTAAATTTTTTTGCATCCTATTATCGATCTCTAATCCACACTCTTTATACTCGATGCGTTTAACACTTTGTTTAACGCAGTTTTTTTCTATTAAAGAATGATACATTTTTGTCGCTTTAAAATAAAACTATTGAACATGTGTGGAATTACACATTTTCGTGAAAGTTCTTTTACTCATACAGTACCTTTAATTATTATCTGAACATTGTCGGATTCCGTATTCTCCATAAATCCGTGTATGTAGAGAATGGAGCTTTTATTCGTAGTGATATCCTCCCCAATTTTTCCTGGATTCATTAATGCGCCCTCGGTGGACGTAGAAAAAGAACTGTTACTGAAGTTCAAACAATCGTTTCGTAACACATTATTCGTTTCTTTTAATCGTATTCGTTGTAAAGTGCATTGATATCGGGCAACAAAAAATAACTTAAGAAATCATGGACAATATAAAATTATGAATCTAGAGACAAGATATATTCTTTCTGTATATCAACCTGTTTAAAATAAACTATGTGGGAACCGCGAAATTTTCTATTAAATTATGGAACTGGCTCTAGTCAGTTTATAATAATTTTATGTGGATGTTTTGGAGAAACGAATAAAATATTAAACAATAATACGTTCAGTCGGAATAATAACAACGTTCCACGAACCCCTTGAAAATCTTTAGACGAACTTTTCCAACAGCACCAGGACTATTCTCTTGTTCACCTGTGCAATAAACGAGGCCATTAATCGATCACTGTCCGAGTGTTCACCTTCCCTGTTTCTGGCGACAAGGACACGAATAGGTGGCAAAGCATACGATAGAAACGTGAATTTGTACGTACATATTCCCGCACAGGCAACATTTTTTACAGTCAGGTACAAAATTATGCACAGACACGTGCATAACTTTGACATCGTTACTTTCGATCGACGGATAAAAAAAAAAAATTACGCGCGATGATTCTAGCGGGTGTAGAACGAACGCATCGATACTTTGCGCGTGATATTTCCGCGTTATGAAATATATAGGAAAACAGTCGCAATATATACAAAGTACCCACTCCAGGAGACTGTCACGTAACGAGGAAGTATTGAAATGATGTAAGACTAATGCTTGATTGACAGAATTATTCTAATATTTTCGTATCGCATGATACACGTTCGAAGTATGCAATAGAAAAATGACAACGAACGAACGTGCACAGTTCTTGGTCAGATTCTACCTTCATAAATAATTTGAATAAACTGGACAAGTATTAACGTGGCAGTTCAAAATAGATCAAGCTTATCGAAGTATTTATAATATAAAGAAATTTTATTAACCACATTTATAGAACGAAGAATCGATTCTTTTAAAGGTAAATAAAATAATGGAGAGTGATGCAAATAATCAGCGGCACGGAGAAATTACAAACTTCCCGAGAATCACGAACATGAAATTTAACTTTAAATAGTACGAAATTAAAGTCACAGTGATTATAAGGTCTGCAATTTAGGTAGCCTTATGCAACTCATGTTTAAAGATAGGCTCAAGAGTAGCTTGTAACTACGTAAAGAAACGTGTGACTGCGAGTATGTAATTAGAGAAGAAAGAAAGCGGAGTGAATAGGACAAGGATGTCTATAAGGTACTCTGCATGAACTCTATCCTTAACGAGATGAAAATTGGATTACGTGCGTTATGTATAAAGTTGACACACAAAAGGTCTTACGGAACAGAGTCCACGACGTCCACGTAATAAGCTCTGAAGACATTATTTTGTTACGTTAGAGATTACTGTGATTGCAGATCAAGTGGAAGACACGTAAGACCCACTGAATTACGAAAATTAGAGGAACGAATGATTTTAGTCTGTTGTGCCAAGGAAAGAGATGTTTTGGAAATACGTGCAAAAGAAAAAAAAGAAAATTCATTTTATAAATTTTTAACGGACCCACGTGTAAAAATCTAACGTTCAGACGGCCCTTTTGCTGCGTTTAGGCTGGTAGCAAACTCTCGAATTGTTTCGACGTTCTTCGTACGCGAGCTTGCATTTTTTGGGGCATGTATTATGTACACGTTGTTCGTATCGAAAGGATTAATTGACTGTTTCGAGTCGACCGATATTCACCGGACGAACGAGACAATTTTCTCGTGGGCGTTCGCAGGTTAGAGGGACACGTGAATACCAGCTGATACACACGGTCCTGGCGCGAAACATCGACCATTAATAACGACGTGTAACGAGTATAGTTTAAGCGCGGGTACCAACATGTCTTCCTCCTACCAACTTATGCTCTCGTAGGCTTAAACATCTGCATCCCGATGTCGTGATATCACGCCTTCCTTGCTTCTATATATACGCGTCTGCCTACGTAGGTAGGTGGGTCGGTGGGTAGGCCGTTTGCGTATTAAGTGCGTTTGCGGCTACAACTCGATAAATACCCTCCGAGTGCACCGACTTCGAACCGGACAAATTTCCCTTTTCTTCCAAAATCTCGTCGTCCTCTTCCCTTTTCTCTTCCGATGTTTACCCCCGCTTATTAGCCATCAGACTCGCGTAAAAAATATAACTGTCCAATGGCGAAACTAAGTAATCGTTGAAAGATATAAAGAAAGTTATCTATTTATGGAACATTTTCTTTTATTTCACGTTGATGCAAATTTTGATAATTATCTGTCGATACGTGAAAAGAAACGTAAGAGAGTCGTATTTTCATCGGCGATATCTACGCTCCCGAGCAATAAAAGCGAAAGCGGATATCGAGAGTAAATTAATGTTTCGGTTATCGTCGAAGACACTTCTGAAAAAACTATCTTTTGCGAACCGTTCAATTATGACTTATTATTGATACGTTACGGTTGCTTGCAATGAAACAACGTCGAACGAGTAACGCCCTTAATTTCCCTGTAATTACAGGACATCCTGACGTCTATACAGTGAGGCATTACGCGTAAAATAATAATGACCGATCATCGAACGGACGAATCATTGGAGTATTTCGCGTATCGAGAAAACGCGATATACTTACTATACTACAAATGGGTATTCTTGATTTTCATCTTATTTTGGCCTCTAGAATCTCCGATTTTTTCCAGAGGTGGCCGAACACCCTGTATATTATACAGTTCCCTTTCTTAAACGCCTCGCAAAGCAACTTTTACGAACGAACGAGCATTTCTAATCCTCGCGAGAGTCATCATCCGACTAATCCTCTCGACGACAAATCTCGAGTGGCGTACTCGGTACCACCGCGGCGGTAATGCCGCCGCAATAAAATTAGGCTACCACGCATAATGCATCTCGATGCGCGTTGAGATTTCTCATCCCCCTGCGAATTATCTCTGGCAATTCCCGGCTACGCGTAACGCATTAGTCATTTTCGCGGGGAGGAAGGGGGTTGACTTATATTCATTCACATAATCCCTCTCGGATGATCAAAGATCCCCGACCATCGCGCGATCATGGTGGTACGCCTAGCTGGGGTGAAATAATCGTCCACGACAAAATACCACGGCGAACGCGTTCGTAGATAGCCGTGGCGAAAATAGAAATCTGTAATGTCAACTTTGGTGTAGCCTATATTTTTATGATTACTATTAAGGTGCACGGGATTGGAAACTCGATAGAAACAACCCTTGTGAAGATTAATAATGAAATTTAGGGACATCTGATTGTGCAACAGATTCGCTCATAGATAAAGATTTGTTTATACTCGAGTTCATGGCTTCTGCATGGATCAAATATTTGTTAGTTTGTAAATTTGTACAGAATATTTTGTGTAAAATTTCAAAAGTCCTGTTGGTTCATCTTAGGGTTGGAAACTTGGATATTTTTACCTCTTCCATTATTTAGATATGTTGAGGTTTTACTGCACAATGTATTTTATTAATTATGCATGCTTTATTTTGAAAAAGTAACGTGATAGCTAATTAACTAACAAGATATATGTACATTTATTTTACGGACATTTATATTGTTCGGAAAAGTAGCTACTTATTTCTAATCTTCGAGCTTACAAGTTCCTCCCTTTATCGTCGCGAGAAATAATTTAGCTTATTTTGTCCGGCGACGTAACGACGCGAGCGACGTCGCCGAGATTGAAAAATGGTTTTGAAAATATTTTTTACCTTGACGAAAGTAACTCGCGACACCGCGACATGGTAGCAAACCGCAAATTGGCTCTCGGGGCAAACACGAGCTTGACATGCTTGCGATAGAGGGTTGAAACGAATTACACGTGCAATATTATGATGGAATAGCGTAATAACAATGAGAGCCACCGATTTCGACGTCATCTGCGTTTCTTCTGCGTTCGACTAACACAGAAACGACCCGTGCATTTCCGGCCAACGATTCGCGACTTGGGAGGGCGAGTGTCGGTTGAATTAACTTAAGCTAACGCCTCGTTTGTCCCGTGCATGTACACGCAGCTGGCGATGGTAGCAGAGGGAACACACCGGGTGGAAAAGGTGAAGAAGGGAGGCCCGATCGGAGTGGCGGAGGGGTCCGCGACGCACCACGGGCAATAAAGCAACAAAACAATGACGGTGATTTACGCGGTCCTACGGCAAATGGGCTTACCTAGATTTTTGCGCGGGCAGCACGCGTCGGCGAGAGAAGGGAAAAGCGGAGGGAGCGATTTATTAATCTCCTCTGCGACACGTACGCAGATGCGATGAGACCAGATGCTGGGGGATTATTTATTTAGTTTATAACGCCCGAGACCCACCGCTACGAATGGCTTCGAGGCTAAGAATTTTCTTTGCGTTGTTATGCAATCGCCGGGATCCTTTGGCGTCTTATTTTTCCGCTGATAGCGTCTACCATTGTGTTCGGAAGCAATGCTCTCGTAGGAATGCTTCTTAACGTCTGCCAAGGGAATATCTAATAGGAACACCTGATTTTAAAAATCCATCAAAAACAGAGTAGATGTTGCAGGAATTCTTTATTAACAAGGTCACAGAGGATGTTCAATATGGCTTCTTTATGAGTTGCCTTTGCCAGGCTATTTTGATGTCAGGAAATAATTTTAATTTAGACAGACATTTTTTATGTATCTTTTGCTATGTTACGGTGTAGCCTCTTTCGTTAAACATGCCTTCATGGTGACTACGAGTCTGGCTGTTCTGTTCATCTACATTAATCGAACCCAAAACTCATTTCGTTCAGTATGGACGTGGGGCTATTGTCGGTACCAAAATTGTCCAAAGTATTGAAAAATAAAATTCTTGGCAGCGCTTTAAAGTCTCTTAAGGTTCACCGAATTTTTCTTTTTTATTTTATATTTCTTGAAGATTCTACGCTAGAATAGCCCCTCAAATGGTCACCCAGTGACGCACCTTTGTACCGTCAGCTTCGATTCGATGTCATAGTGATGAACAATTATGATATAATAGATTCCTCGTTAAATTTGTTCGTTCCAGAAACGATCGTAGCTCTCGCTACCTACAGCGAACCCTTTAACGATTTTTGCCCACCGCGAGTGTGCTACGTGAACGTAGATCACATTATCCACGGCCACACGCTATTCTCAGATGCTACCAGAAAGCTATAGACATTGCACGCTCCGCGGCGATTGCGCCTCCCAAAGACAACTTCAAAAGCCGCGTGGCCGCAGGCTGTGGTAACTCGTCTTTGTCCGGCAACGTGTCGCACTGGCGGCACTACGAGTCACCACAGTCTCAATCCAGCTGGTTTCAAGTACGGCTTATCGTGATTCCCAGACGAATCTGACAACCGTTAATCCCATTGCCGTATGCCCTGACTGGCCGAGTGGATTATAATAACGATCGGTATTACTATGACGAGTATATCTCGAAGGTAAATAACATAAGAAAGTCAACAATTTGAAGAAACGTGTAGGCTCCTTCAAGCAATAAGAGACACTATGGAAAAGTTACAGTAAGGATTACTAACTAGCTTTATATAAATTATACATATAGTTGTATCACAGTTGGAAATAACATGTGTCTCTTATTTTTCCTTTGACAATTATGTGTCCAACTATATTGTATT